ACATATTCATAAACATTGATCTTCTGCTAACATTAACCTTCTTTCTGCTTTTTAAAAAAGATAACTTATTCATAGAGTGAAATAATTTTTTATAAAAATTTATAAAAATAAGGTAATTTCCTTTTTTGGTGTAATAAGAAACAATTAGATAGTCAACGATTAACTCTCTGAGTTAACCAGATATTCAAATAGTCAACGATTAACTCTCTGAGTTAACCAGATATTCAAATAGTCAACGATTAACTCTCTGAGTTAACCAGATATTCAAATAGTCAACGATTAACTCTCTGAGTTAACCAGATATTCAAATATCTACCTAATTGTTTCTTATTATTATACCAAAAATTATCAAATGAAATCATAATGAGATTAAAAAGAATCCGATGAAGGTGAGAGTCATCTAAGTAATTGATTTAATGAACAAATCAACAAGTGGAAGGTCTAGGCTTAGACATACCTACTGTCCCAATAATCAATGCACCTTCCTCACGTCCAAACTGTCCATATTTGATCCAGTTTATGAGTTGATCAACTTTCTCTTGATCTAGTAATGATGTTTCATCATAAATCCTCACCTGAAATTTATTTTTAAATCAAAATAAATTCAGTAGAAAAGTAAATCTTATGTATCTATACGACAGGTGTATTAAATTTTACGATAGGTGTATTAAATTTTCCACTACTGAACAACGAATTATATAGAGATGCGTTTACACTATCCTTTTCTAATTGGTCTTAATTTAAAGCCTAGATACTAGTTAGAAATTTAATTTTCTTAATTAAAACAAAAATTAAATGACCTCTTTCTTCAGCGCAACTAACAGAGCAACGTATTGTTTAGGTTCATAGGTGAAAGTATCAATACCACATATGGTTTCGTCCAGTTTTATTTTATTTCGACATTTTCCATTTGCGGCAAAAAACGATATCGTCTGATCGGTGCATGCTACCGCTAACTGAAATTCATGTTGACCGTATACACGTTGAAATTCTCTACTTAACATTAGTGTTCAACGATTTCAGGTGTCCACTTAATTTAAAAAACAGTAAACTGTCATAACAGAAGATGACAATTTTTGGTGTTATATGTGACGTGAAAATGCAAATGAATCAATCAATGGTATCTTGTGGATTCTTGAAAGTTATATTATCAACGATATATTGAAAGAAAGAAAAATAACGATTGTAATCATGGTACCATAACCAGGTCATACAAGAACCAAGTTCAAATTTTTTTAATTAGTCTGATTAGTCTGATAAAAATCTTTATATTGCATCATTATTAGACGAGTTAAGAAAAGAATATTGCTAGAAAAAATTTTTGAAATTTATCCTGCTAGTCTTTTTTTCTTGCCTCAATGGCCAACCTAATCTCAATGCTATCAAGATTTTCGACGAATTGTTTTTTAATATTTTACTACCGACTTATCACCGACCTAATCACTGACCTGTTTGCCAACGCGTGCCATACCGATGATATCAGCTGTCATAGTGATAATTGGATTTAACACTGATTTTATATCTCGTTTGATACTGAAAATTTCTGCATCTCTTGTACTTACAAATATTCGATAGTCTACTTCATACAAACCTATAATACGAGAAATATGATCAATTTTATGGAACACTATTGCTTTTATTCAATATTTGATTAACATATCAATCAATAATTTAAAATTTAATATTTGAATGTCTTTTTTTATCATTTTAAATACACGTTTATATGTCCATATGCTAACCTGCAGCATATAGAAACACAGGAATTCCCGGTATTTTATACTGTATCAAAATGGTAAATGCTTGTGTATCGATACAATAAACATATCCATATTCGGTGGCGCAAATGATGCAATCGACAGCATTGAGTTCTGCGGAGGATCGTTTTATTGTTGTCATACAGGTTATGGTACTTTGATGAACCAGTTTACTATTTAAGCATTGCTGAAGTGTACTTTCACGATCTTTTTCTTTGCTACTTAGAAATGCTTGCGAACGAGTTGTCAATTCCATGCCACCAAGCTGCAATAAGCTTACTCTTATTATCGTCATCAATGTTTGAATTCTTTTACACATTTTTAATTAATAATCGAAGAGACCTGAAAAATGATTGCTCAAATTTAAGAAAATGAGAAAAACTGTCACCAGAAATAGAACTTCAACAGACTTTTTATTTTTGTTCTTTAAACAAAATTAGTAAAATTTTAAACCTGTTGAAGTAATTTTACAAGTACAGCATGGAGTTGTATTGCATTGATATGACCAGCTTCAACATGTCGCCAAGCTTCTGCTTCATCTTTGTTTATTTCTAATGATGGCGGTATGAATTTGTAAAATGGTTTCAAATTTTTATAAATTAGAATTGCTGGACCACAGGCTACTGCTAAAGATGATAAATTGGGTTGTACCTATAATGAACATAACTTTGGAAGAAAGAATTTTACAATCACGATTGTTCAGAGTGTATCAGAATATGCTGCAAATAAATGTAACAAAGTTATCAAATCAATTTTTAAAGACTCTTAATATTTATAAATTTACCTGAAAGTGATATCAATTGATTTACTTACATTTTCATTATTGAATGATACTAAGGCAGATGGTAAATCGCTGAGGACATTTTCACCAATCACTTGTAAACCTCGAAAGACTTTCAATCGGATATCGTATTTTTCAGTACCAAAATCACCAATTACTAATTTATAATCACCATCACCATGAAGATCTGCTAGACATACACAACTTGGAAGAGTATTAAGGCCAAGAGATGTGGCATTTAAAGCCAACACCCATTTACTGGTGCTTGTACTCTTCTTCATACTGAAATTCAAAAATTTCGAGATAAGATTGAGTCTCGCAGGTCTCACGTTAAGTCTCGAATTAAGTCTCACACTAAGTTTCTCCTCAACACTTACTACTTGAAGAACAAAATACTTAAATATGATCTTATTTAAATATCACATTTAAACTTTTTTTTTCTAAGGAAATCATTTACATTTTTGATTACTGCAAGAGATGATGGGAGTCTTACACAAATCGATTAAATAGTATATTTTTAACGATTAAAATGTCTGGCACATCAACATATTGCCATTTTGTTACTATGGTGATTGCCTGCGCTTTAGTTTGGTGTTACCACAATTATCGGTTATGCTAAAAAAACAAGTTGTTGATTAATCCAGTAAAGGAGAACCTCAGGGTTTCAAGATCTCTTTATTTTTTGAAGATCAAAATGGCAATGATTTAAATCCAAAGAAAGAATATCGATTGATCAAGTGAAACTCTATCAAATCTTTTCAACCGGTTATATTAATTTAAACTAGCCAAGACATTCATTCAAAGTTATTGTATTATACTGAGTGTTGAATTTGATTTTATTATTTTCATCTATTTCACAAAAGTCACAGAAAGCAGAAAAACTGGTTCTACGTTCTAAACGTGACCTAAAATACTTGATATGTAACCTAAAAGAAAAAGAAAAAACACATATACTTGCAAGGAATATTACTTCTCTTCTGTTTTTGTTGTTGGATTTTATCTCAGAATATTTGTTGGAGTTTTATCTCAGAATTGAAAACATTAATTTTAATTTTATTCCCAATGCAAAAAATTAATTTCGAATTTTCAATATGAAAGGTAAGAGCAAAAGGCCTATTTCATTGTGACAAGTATCAATGTTGCTGAAACATTAATGCGAGCCGTTAAGAGGTACTATTTTAAGTCATTCAATTAATCAGTTGAAATAAGTTATTCATATGTTAAAGACTTTAATATTTGTTGAAATTACAATGCTTTTCTTGTCTTAATGGTATCGACAATTTAGTAGTGACCATAGCCAATTTGAGATACTTTGGAGGTTAAGTTTCTCTTTTGTACTTTGCTTAGTTTATCGGCGAAATTTAGGCTACTTGCTGGATTGCAATTGCATCTGGCGCTAATTGCTCATCCGTCTTACTATCCTCATCTGAACAGCAGAATTTTCAAAATTAATTAATGAAATTTCAAGATTAGTTTAGATGAGACAAATAATTCTAACAGCTATTAGTCCAAAAGTAATAAAGTGCAACAAATGACGAAAAGTTTAAATTGGTTGACAAACGTTTAGAAAGTTAGCTTCAGCTTTTTCAAACAATTTGGGAGTAGGTGGATCAGTTGGCAATTCCGGAAAGGAGTATGTTGATGTCGTTGGCGCAAGACCCTGACAATGTTACCTAAATCGGACAATAATCTATTAGTGGGTTGCGTCTTTTTAAGCTGTTGACCTGTCATATCGGATTGGCTAACTCGGTCTGAACCTGCCAAATCAATCAAATTTAGTTGACCTGAAAACTGTAAATGAATTTGTGGATTAATATGAAATTTGTGGATTAATATGGTTAATATGTGGATTAATATAATATGAATTTGATAGGATTAATATGAAATATAATTAATATGATTAATATTAATATGAAATTAATATGATATTAGTTTCAGTATTTATATTTGTATACAATTCTAAATTTCATCCGTAATCATTATGAAGATAAATAATTTAGTGAAAATTGTTAATAAAGTTATCTAAACGTTGTCAACGTCGTATTTATCCTATGGCTAATATGGTATCAAAAACAATAGTATGATGAGGCTAATAATAAGCATCTTTTATACCTCAACAACTTACCATTTCAACTCTCTTTAATGGCCAGGTCGACGAATTATTTGGAACTTACTTTCTACACTGCTCGATATTACCTTAAACTTATTTAAATAAGCAATAAACTGGTCGCTACTTCCAACTTACTTTAACAAACGATAAACAAAAACCTGTTTCAACTTACTTTAATAAACAATGATAGTTACTTTTAACTTGACTCAATTATAATAGACAAACTGACATTTAAAAAGTGAAATATGTGGTTAATTATTTACTTAATTAATTATTCACTCAGTTCATTCGTCCTTTTCTCAATATTCCCCGTACCTCTTACAACGTGCTTACATTGAGTATAAGTAAGCCCGAAATATCCAACATGCCATCATTAACGATCGTATTGGAAGATTGTTCTTACCGCTCGACTATAAATTTCTAGAAAATAGCATCAAATTTGAATTTTCGAAAAAAATTTGAAAATATAATTGTCCTTTATAAATTGGAATTTCTTTGAAAAATTCCGAAACAAGCTGTAATTGCTATTCGTGTTTAATTAAAATATATTATATTGTTCCATTATATATTTTTAGTAATGATACTAAAATTGCGTAATCGATATCAATCGATATCATTTCTTTCGCTATTTGGAAGAAATGAATCGACGATCGTCGATATACATACATTTGGTAACTCCGAAAATTCTAATAATTTTTCAAATTCACTCCTTTTTTAAAATATCAAATTTCAATTAATTCGAAAAAATGCAATTTTCCAGCTTATTTCCTCTAAATCTAATCAATAAATATTACGCGTTAGCTAAATAATAACTTTGTAAAATGAATGACATTGAAGGATAAATAGGTTGAAATTCACACTAAATTTTAATATCGAGTTCTTTCTTTCTTTTTTTTTTGATTAAATATTATAAAATTTTAATAAACAAACAATATCTATGGCATGTGGTTTTATCGTTTCCAATATGTCCATATGCAAATATGTATACATTATAATCATCTTCCATACAATTTATTATGATTGGAAAAATTTTTGCAAAAATCTGCAAATGTATTTCTTTTTTGGTACAAAAATTAAGTATTCCATTCATTTGATTACTAATTTTGATTACTTTCCTTTCCTTTTTGACAATTCCACCTCTTTTGCTTATTTGACGAATATTTGTATTTGTTTGTTTGTTTGTTTACCAATTTTTCTCCCTTTATTTCTTTTTACTTTTGTCACAAAAAGAAAAAAACGAACAATTTTTATGAGAAAATTAAATGGAATGAAATTATGTTTGTTGAACAATAAAAGATGAGTAGAAACTACGAGATGGACCATTAATTACTTTGAGATAAGAAATTAAGATATAAAAGAATACTGACATTCAAAACTGAAAACTGAATTTTAATTTAGTATTAAAAGGCATGTTAGAATAATCTATGTTAAATCCAAAGTAGATAAGTTTTAGAAACTGTATAACAATTATGCAAGCATCACATTGAGTATGCTTTTTCGTTGAAAGCTCTATCACAATTAAATTTCTTTCGGTCACTATTGGCACTGTCAACAATAATTGTGTCACTATCAAGTGGAGCAGTTTGTTATGATAACTTCGATCGGTCCAATACGACAAAATACACAAACATTACCTTCAAACGAAAATAAAAAATTAAAATAAAAATAAAAAAAAGCGAAAGTTGATATAAAAATCTGTGAATTTTCATCGAATTTTAATTTAATAGATGACTGTTGTCGATGGATTACCGTACATTTCGACCAGTTTATTATGTATCGTTTTTATCATTTCTACATTTTTACACATTCTTCACGTGTTGCTATTTGAATGCCACCTACTAATTTTCTCAATTCAATCTAAGAGTTGACATTTGAACGGGTGTGAAAGGAATTAATTTTTTTTAATAAGTATATTTTGAGATTTATTTCAAATTTAATTACGGTATTAAGTCAAAAGCCTTTGTATCCATCAATTGCTTCACACCTTTCTGCAATTTTGCAATTGTTTCTTGATTAAAGAACAACTGACGATCATCACTTTTTATGAAAAGTTTGAATTTACACTTCTTCCTAATCTTTTGTAGTACACAACTGACATGAACTGAGATGTTGTTTTGCCATACTTTATCGATTTTCCGGTTTCTCAAAAAAAAAGAGTTACCTTTTGTTGTGTACACTAAAAATAATTTAATTCGACCTGAAATATGCTAATTTTTAATCAAAAACAAAAAATTTCGTTTGTAGAACCACTTGTATGTCACTGTAACCAATTGTAAAAATGGATGTGATGTGTTGCATCAAGATAAGTAATCCGGGCAAATAATGAGAACAGTAGTGCTCCAATAAATAAATAAGCTATTAAAAATCCGAGAAAACATAAACTAAGCTATTAAAAATCCGAGAAAACATAAACCCGTTACTGACTACAATATATTTGCCTTCTTTAAATTGAAAATCAATATTGGTTATTAGTCATTATTATTGGTCATTGGCTATTTGAAGCGAATGCCTTATGATTGTATGTTTATTGAATATGTTTTGTTATGCTAATTAAATATGATGGTTGAAATGATTAATATAGTAAGAGATACCTTAGGAAGGAAGCGCATAAAATAGAAGCTAAAGAATTTTGCAATATCGCTTATTGTAACAAGTACCAATAAGAGCATAAATTACAACAATAATTCGTCCTACCTTAATAATTGGTGTGACAAAACCATAACCTAGAAATTTTAGTTATTGAAGTTGGAAGAAATGCTTGAAGTTATAAAAATATCCATTTGGTAAGCTACAAATAAATTTGTTTATGCCATCATTTATTGAAGTCAATTTTTGAATTTTTAACAGTTTCAATTTAAATATAGAAAAAAAGGAAGTCCGTCAACAATTTCATTGATATTGCAATCTTAGTAGGATATTTATACATACATACCAACGGGAATAACAGTAGTGACGGCAAAAAGTATATGATGGAAGAGGGAAAGCGAGACAATAGAGTAATCAATGATTATTCACGGACAAAGTAATCAGTGTGATGAGTCCTGAGATAACTTTCAGGTTTCCGGATCGTTCTCTATTCAGAAAGATCTTATTGTTTACATTGCCAACCGGCAATTTACGCATGAATCGTTTAAGCAATACCTTTTACTCAATTTATTCAACAACTTCCTTTCCTTTTCTGCTTCCGGAAACTTAGACAACTAATGGAGACTAGCTTTACTTTCCCTCAACGAAAAGGAAATGGATATTGAGAAGTGCAAGATTATCAAGTTGCAATAATCTTGATTTTACTCGAGTATTCATTTTCTAATTTTAGTTTTTAACTTGGTTATTTCTTGGTCTTATGTACGTAGCTTTGTAACAATTTTTTTACTTTCAATAAATTCACAAGATTTACTTTACTTTTGATAAATTTACAAGATTTACTTTACTTTTAACCATTAATTAAGAATTACCTGCGAATCTCTACAAAAATCAAGCAATTCCTCAATGTAACTAGCACTTAGAACATATGAAACATTTTCGGTCAAGTTATCCGCTGCCGCTGTTTGCAGGGAATTCTGTAATTCTTAATTTTTCACAAAATTGAATACATCTTGAATTTTTACAGAAAGTTTGAAATTCTAAGATTATTAAGTTTCTAAGTGAGTTAAAAACCATGTCTACTTATTCCGAGCAGCACTGATGTCCAAAAAGTTCCCGTCTTTGGAAAAATTTTGACAATTTAAAGTAGGAATTATTGATTATAAATCAAGTTAGATAGTTTTTTTCTTGTAAATTTTGGAAATTTAGGCACAAATTTAATTTCTTCATAAGTGGCGAGATGATATGGGTGCGACATAATTTCAATAGATCGTTCAAGATACAGGAACAAAGCCGCACCAATGCATGACATAAATCACTGTGCCAACAATCATACCAATGTGTACAACTGCAGCATGAAGCTAAAAAATTAATTGCTAATTCATTGCTATCATAAAGAAAAAATTATTGAAAATTCAAGTTTTGCAACTTTAAGTATACTTAAATATCTCACATACTTGACGTGCTTGCGTATAATTTGATGTAAATTTACATACCATTTGCGAGTGGTTTCGCACCATTTTCCAGCAAAATTAAACAGAAACACTTTCATAAATTACAAACTAAAAATAATTACAAACTGAGAAAATACTTTAATTGTATTTGACAGTTGACAAACTAATTGAAATTCAAAAAAGCAAGTAATGATATGATTGCTGAGTATACCTAGAATGATAAGCATCTCACAAAAGTAGGATAGAAGTGATAACAACGATGGTAGTTCTAACAATTAAGAAGACAGATGAAGTAATTAGTTCAGAAATTTCTTGAACTCAGACTGTTAATCGACCCGGAAAGCTGTAACCTTTAGCTTTTTAAAACTATTGGATTGTACAGATTCTCGCAGATAACGTTCCATCGAGTTCTAATAATGAAATTAAATTAGCTGAAAAAGTTTTAGAAATGTCGAACAAGCAGTAAACAATGTAAACCATACCTTCCCATCGATTATTGTCTTAGCTGGAATTTACATAGACAAATGTTTTGAAAACAAATAGAGCTGAAGAAATTTCACAAAACAAAATTATTGTGGGTAATCGTTTGCACTGGTCGATGCAAATTTACACGAAAATAAATAACTGTTATTGGGATCAGGAAAAGGGAAGTACTAAGAAGGTGGAAAAGGTAATATCATTCCAAGGCTTCGACGATCTAGAGGGAGTGCAAGACATCTTTATTGTCAACAATGATTATGAGCAATGAAACCAGCGTTCTTGTACTTTTGATATGTTTGCTAAAAAGAGGCAAGAATTGGATCGATCAATCCTATTTCTTCACTGGCTATTCTTTTCATAGTTTAAAAAGGAATATGAAAATTTCACCTTAATGAAACGATGCTTAAACTAATTAAACTTTCTGTTCATGTGGCTCATTTTGTTTTCTGCGGTAATTCTTGCTAAAGGCGGATAGAGTTACAATCGGAATACTTAGGCAGTATGTAATCAGTGCCTGAAGAAAGTTCCTGATATTTTGATTGAATTTATGACGTCTGTCAATATCCGGCTTAAATGGATATTACCGAATCTGTAGATGATGCAAACAGAGGGAAACAGTTTTCTAGAAAAGTGCCTACATCACAATTACCATATTATCTTGTTTAATTCATTCAGATGATTAACACTGATACTATCAAAGAATTGACATTCCTGGGGATTTAAGGTTAATTATAATTATTCTTTGAAAAAATGTTGAAAATGAATTTTATTAACAGCTTTCTTTTCAAAGAGTTCCATGATTAGGCTATGTCTGTTCAGGTATAGTTTTTATCATTCTTGTGATTGATATCTGTAATTTGTTCTGCTATCATTTGAACAATTATTTCATGTTTTCTGCTTATAGCTGCGGAAATGAAGTACAGCGAATGTTGTTCTAATTTGGCAAGATCGGATTTAGGATTTAGCCCACTTGAAAGAGTTAAAGAAGGAAGAAGAAATTTGACTAATGGATTTGAGAAACGTGATGAAAGCATTATGTCGTTGTATTCACCAGCCTAGGAAACAGCTGATCAGATATGACTAGTAAAAACAACGATGACAACTGCGGTACATTTTTGAGGAGACAGAGCGGAAGATGTAAATATAGAAGCGCTATAGGATACCGTACATTCGACTTGTAAGTTATTATTAGCCATTGAAGATTTTGGAGACAAATGAAGGATAATGTACTTTTGGGCGATTGAACAGCATGATAGTACATTGGAGTAGCAAGAACAGATTCCGGAAACCTTCAATTGAGAATTTTCCGGAACATTTTCGAACAAAACTATTGGGGAAAAAGATTTAGGAGACGAAGTTTGGCATACGATTAATTGAACAGAAACTAGCAAGAATATTCATTAATACTTGTTTTGTAAAAACAATAAAAAAACTGATGACAAATGGATTGTATTGGAAATCGCATACTTGGAATATGAAGTTACTTTGTCCTTCTGTCCCACACATCAATATAATTTCATCTTACTTATCTTTTTACATACAGCGTTTACCTATCACCACAACTGCTTTATTAAACTAATCGTTTGTTTGGTGAATTCTTACCTTATGAATTTTCTACTAGAAAATTCATAATCATACATCGTGTGAGGCTACTGATCAATCAGTTAGTCGGAATACTATGGAAATAAAAAAATTCCATTGGTGATAAATAATCCAAAGCTGAGTAATTATTAACCAGTAATTATTAAAATCAATGTAAGGAATGATATAAATACCAGTGTCATTAACTGACCATTGATAAGGAAGGATACAAATAAAAGTATTTCATTTCCATTTTCTATTTCAAACTTCTGTACATTGAATGAAGAAACATAGGATGGAGCAATTTTGTTTTTTTCCTAATGTTGACGTTCCAAGAAGGACATTCGAACTTCAGTTTTCAATAACAAGATATTGGAAATCAATTAATTCGCAAATAGATCGATCGGTTAACATATTTAAAATAAAACAGATATTGATACATATTTTCGCCAGTTCCTATTCATTCAATCACATACCAAAATTCGTCTCACAGATTTGCCGGATGCTGGAGAAATATTCCGGAAAATTCTCAATAACGAACAAAGTGCAGGTTTCCGGGATCTATTCTACTAGTCAATGTACTATGGCCCAAAAATACATTATTCTTCATTCTTTCCCTAAAATTTTATATTTTCCAACATTCTCTCTAAATCTTTACTTCCTAATAATAATTTACAAATCGAAACTATGTCATTTCGTTTGAGCTTTGCTTTCCGTTTCTGTCTACTCAAAAAAGCACTGCAATTGTCATCGTTGTTTCGCTGATATCTAATTACGAATCACCATTATCAAAATATTGAGTTCTTGCAAAGCTTGAAATCATGTTTATGTTTTTTCGGATTTTGAATAGCCTATTTATTTATTGGAGCAATATTATTCTCATTATTTGCCCGGATTACTTATCTTGAAGTAACATACTTCTCCACATTTCTCCCAACGTTGTGCAAAGTTTTAGTCCAAATTAACGACATGAGGGTTTATTGAAACTTTTTACTTTTCAAAAATATACCAAAGTTTAAAAAAGAAATCGATTAAAAAATAAATCGCTGTGAAAATTCGGCTGAAAACAATACGATATAATTCCCTCGAGCTTCTAAGTGACAACAAAATTAGCATTGTTACCACCAAAATTTGAAGGAAAAAGACAGTGATATTCAATTCTAAACGTGACTATACTTCCAGTCTTAGTTTGGCTCTTGAATTGATAAAAATGTTTCCGATATGCTAATATGTTTTTGCATATGGGGAAAGGGAATAAGGTGACATGGCTATAAGCACATACAAAAAAAAAGTAAAAATTGAAGAATCATTTCGAAAAACGCGTTTCAACAGGTCGGTTGGTTGGAGGACATCGGGCGTGGTTTAATCTTTTCGTTCTTAGTGTTTCGTTATTAATTTGTTGTATCGATCATAATTGCAAGTTCGTTGTTGCATTAATAAATTTATTGTAATAAAAGGTTTAATTACCCAAATTTGAGGTACTACCAACTAAAGAGACAGTAAGAATCCACAGTTTTTGTCACGGTTGAAGAAAGTCGGCGACATAGCTGATGGATTTTTTGAAAAAAAAAAGAAAAAACATGAAATTATTATTCTCATTGTCTTCTTCTGCACATAATTTACAACAAAACAATTTACAAGAAGGGATCAATTGTTTAGGATAAAGGAACGGTCCAAAGGCTCCGGTCCAAAGGCTGAAGATTCGAAAATTCTGTCACTAATTTATTTGGTACAGGATGATACCGATCGTTGAACAGATTCAATTGATAACATTTTCCAGAAAAAAAAATTGAACCTGACATCGGTAGCAATATTTATGGTACTGCTGCTAATTCTAGGTATGCTTGGCAATTTGAATTTGATTTATGCAACATGGAAATTCAAAGAATTGCGGAATCGGAATAGTTTACTGGTGGCAATTATCGCAATTTTCGACTCTGTAATTTATCTTTCGCTCATTTACTTCTGAAAATAATAGAAACTGACTTTCGCAATAAACACAATACATCGATGAATTTGAACCTATAATATAACAATCAACTCTGTAAATATATTGTTGAGCAAATGTATAATTTGCATTTATGAGCTTATCTGAAGATGGCAGAACTACATCTTAGAGGAAAAGATTTGGAACTTAAAACACTTTCGGATGATCGATCCGATCGTAGGTTCGATTACAATCTATGTCAAAGTATTTAGCACCATTGAACAAAACATATTCGATCGCCGAGTGATCGAAGCATATTTTGTAGATAAGCGAAGTACATGAATGGAAGAAAGCGATTGAAATATTCCTTAACAAATCGATCATGAAACGAGTGAATTGTTATCAGTCAATCTTCTTGTATTGTTACTCATTCAATATGTCAACTGTTACAATACTTTTCCTCGCTATCGATCG